TAAAAGGACATGTAATGAGAGGGCTGTATGCAATTGTGAGACCGAATTAGACAACCAAGGTCCAAAATGTTTAGTAGGTAATACTAGTGAGGGTCACGAAAGACCGTTTATTCAAAATCATTTACGAATGATAGTCGATGATGCCTTTAAAATGAGTCAACCTATACTACTTTATTATAATGGTCGGGATAATTATAATGTAGTTGCCAACCCTGAACCCCAATTGTTGGAGGATATTTTTAAACCTAAATTTAACCATCAGGGTAATAATTAATTATATTTTAAGTATGTGAATTAAATATATATTTTCTTTTACAAATTTAACTAAAGATCATAATGATAGACAAGTTAAACAAAATTTTAGTCAAACTACCGAGAACAATTTAAAATTGGTCACCACGTTGAAATTCAAGTTTGAAGACAAGTTTAAGCAACTAACTCAAGAAATAAACAAGATCAAATCAGATATTATATCCCTAAACAATAAAAATTAAATTTTGAAAGAAACTAAATTCTTAAATAAAAATATTACTTAAATTAAAATTATATTGTTGGCAGTCATGAATCAAATGGAGACCTTGATTAAAATACAGATAGAACTGATAGTCTGGGTGATATTGATCAGGTGCTGTTACAATGATAAAATAAATATTTAAAAATTTATGCACAGTATGTATCAGAAAATAATTTAACAATTAATTCAGATTAAATTTATTAAATATAATTAAGTTAACATTATAGAGATTTACTAAATTCAAGTTTTTATAGTATTCAAAATTTTAATGAAAATAAACAATAGTTTTTAAAAATAAATTCATTAATCAACTGTATATTCGAACAAAGTGCATCTAGTATAGTGCCTCTCAAGGTCACTTTGTGATTTAATTTTGTGCATGCACAGCCAACAAAATTCCATTTTGCACCTTGAGCATGTCATGTGATTGCATCCACGTGTATCTTGCTAATTTAACAAAATATAACATATTAAGTAGCCACAATTAAATTACATAATTAATTACCTCGATGTAATTTTTGCATCCAGGACATTTTTTGCAGGAATTCCTAATTAGCTGTTCAGAGGCCTTGTCGTCCTTTCTTTTTTGTTCCCGTCTCCTTTTACTTTCCAACTCCCGGGCCTCCCGTTCCCGTCTCTCCCTTTCCAATCTCTCATTTTCCATTAGCTGGCGCTCCCTTTCCAGTCGATCCCTTTCCCGTATCTCCTCTTCCCTTACGGCCCGTTCCCTTTCAATCCGATCTCTTTCAATGCGATCCCTCTCCGAACTCTCCCGTTCCCTGACCTCCCGTTCCTGTCGTTCCCTTTCCATACGATTCCTTTCCCGTCTCTCCTGTTCCCTTATAGCCCGTTCATTGTCGATGAGCTCCCTTTCCACTCTCTCCCGTTCCTCTGGTGGCCTCGGGTATGATCTCATGCTTTCAAATCTAGCCTCCAGTTCCCTAACAATTGAGTTTGGGTTAAGTACGGGACGTGTAGTCTGGTGGCAGTCTTGTACCCCGTGGTAGGCGTTCCCACAACTCGTACAGAATGCGTAGCCACACGGGGAACAGTAGGCAAATCCAATGTTAGGGTCAAGCTCAACAGGGCCTTCGCAATTGACGCAGGTTATCTTAAACGTAAGAGTATCTAGGTTAAGTTATTTATAATTAGTGTACGATGATAATTTACCACTCTACTTTCTGTAACTTCAGTCACTGTATTTGGCCTAGTTACAAATTATAAATTTAAATTGTTAAATAATTAAAATAAAAATTTTGTTTAAATTGTACCTTGTTACATCATTTTCAGACATTACATGCCTTACATTCATGCGCTCAATAACCCGACTAAATGGGCGTTCTTCATTTGTTTCAATTTGAGCTTGATCATGCTGAATTAATGCCGCTATAATTATTTTATATTTATTTTAATTGAACAATCATATTATGTATAAACTATGTACCTGGTATTGTCGGACGTTGTTTATGGTTGCTATTTTATAAGTGAAATATTGTGCATACTTTAAATAATGATCAAGTAAATATAATAATTTTATATTTCTTACGTTCGCCGTATGCTATCGTAAAACTCACGATTGAATATACCAGTAAATTCATCTAGATGATTTTATATTTTATTAAATACAGTTTCTAAAATAATTTAAATACTTTCGCACCCTCCTCAAATGTTTGTTGCTCATGTTGTGGTGGTGTAATATGCATTTTATTTTGACTGTTTAAAATATTTCATTAATATTTAAATTAAAATGCCCTTTGTAACTTACATTGCATGCTCCAATTCATCATCTATTAAACTTGAAATATCTAGAAACAAATTGAAATTAAAATTTATTTAAAATTAGATTACATATTACTTTAATTATATGTCATATAATCTGATTGCATAAACTTAGTGCTGTATATTTCTCACCATAATCGTCATCTAAAATGTCACCAGGCGCATTTGGATCAAATTGTGTATTTTCAATAATTTCAAAATCTTCCACCAAGTTATCCATAGTTGTATTCTCTATAATAAATAACGTTTAACAACGTAAATAAACTACAATTAAAATGTTTTATTTAAAATAATGATAAAATATTTTACCCTGTAGTTGATCATATTGGTGATTAGTTGGTAAATCAGGTTGCTGTAATGTAGCTTGACCAGTTTCAGTAATTACTGAATTGTCCCCGGTGGCAATCCCTGAGTCATCATAACTTTGATCCAACAAGCTCCTTTCTTGTGCCAACTTGATATCATGTTGCTCTCTACCAACTAAATATTAACATGATACATTTTAATTACTAAAATTTGCTAGGTCTTAAAACTTTAAAACTAAATAAACCAGAATAAAATTTTTAAATAAAATTTCAAATTATCAAAACTTACTTGCTAAAATGCTATGTAACTTAACGAGGCATAAAATCGCCTCGTCCCTTTGTTCAGGATCAATATCGTAGCCTGGTGACTCATCATCATCGCTCGAGTCGGACATTATTATATTATGTTAATATTAATATTTAAAAATTTATTTTTAATAATAAATTTGTTGATTCATATCTATATTTTACAATTAAATCTATAAATTAGTTAGAGTTACATAAAATACTTATAATTACATAGAAATATCAATATTATTTAAAGGTCATGTATTAATTTTATCATATTCTTGATCAATTATGTATTTAGTACTGTATATTATACGCTACTGTAATAATAATGGAGTTTAATTATGTTTATAAAAATATCAACACTCCTCGTAATATAATAAAGTTATAAAATATATTTAATAAATTAATAATAATAATATTTCTGTATTGCACACATTAATCTACACTATTATAAACAAAATAATTTTTAAAAATGAATTTCAATATATCGACTTTGATCAGCAAGTGAAATTATATAATTCTCATGAATAGTAAAGTATTTGTTATTTATAATTTAAAAGGCTTATTTCACACATAACAGACTCATCATACATATTATTGTACATAGATAATTTGAATTTCAACTAAACTCATAGTCCACTGATAATATTGCAATTTTATTTGTGTATATCACATTTGTGTATTTGTGTAATAAAAAACTTATTTATCATTTTTATAAATTTGAGTAGTAATTCTGCAATCAAAATATTTATTACATTATACAATTAAATTATGATATTATGTACATAAATATTACATTTAGATATGAGAATTCTGTTAACCTTACTGCATTTATTTGCTAATGTTATAAAATAAAAACAAATATAAATTATATATATTTATATATCTACATTTATATTGTAATTTATTTATTGAAAACATTTAACATTTAATTAATTTTAACGATATGAATTATTTAACTTTAAATAGATTTAATAAAAATGATAATATATTGTCGTAAATAATATTTTATCAAATATATTAATCCTTTATAAATGACAAAAAATTTGAAATATATTATATAACAGATTGTTTTATATAAGTGTTTTCTAATATAATATAAATTTTATAACATGTTACACAAAAAATGTTGCATTGGAAACATAATAATTGTTGCCATGCTAAAAAATATCTATCTTTAGACATTATTATTAATCTCATGTTATCGATATGTACAATATAACGATAATAGTCTGTAGAAATTTATTTCAATTGTTATCTGATATTTTTATTTTAACGTTCAAATTGGCACTGCTAATCTTACTGTTTATGCTATAGCATTATTAGTAATAGGGAAAGTATTTTACAAAATAATATATGAATTCAAATATTATTTAAATATATTAACTCTTTTATGACAAATAGTTTCTTTAGGTTTGTCTATAATATAAATTTAATAACTTATTTAGTAATAACAATATGAGTGGCAAAAATAACCAAGATCAACCATTTATAAAAGGTATATAATTTTAGTAATATATTTACTTTTTATATTGTATATTAATATAATTCACCTTTTATATAGATCTTGATAAATTATTTGATAAAGAATATAAAAATGTGTTGTAAGTATTTTTTAAATATTTTAGTACGTCCAATAAGTATGTAATATTAAATTTAATAAACATTTTAACAATGCACATTGATATTTATTAATTAAATATACGATATAATGTTCCCACCTAATAATATTTTTGTACTTATTGAATAACCCCCCCCCCTCCCGTAATTTTAAGTTTATTAAATTAATAATGTATATTTAATAAACTTAATTAACTATTTTTGTTGCATAATTTTTACAAACAAACATGGCGAATAATAAAATTTTTAAATCATTTGTATTAAAACAGAAAGAAAAACAAACAACAAAAGTCACCAAGCTACAGGCCTACTGGTATACAGTATTTAGTAAATTCAATTACTATTTTGAATAACATTATTATGTACTAGCATCAAGTTCATTTTACTCCGGTGGCCACGACTACGATGATCATGGTACTGGGTGCTTCCCAAGTATGACAAATATTTTCGGTTCTCCCACCTACGCCGATAAAGTCATAACGTACGTTCCTGATAATAAAAATTATGGACCTGGATACAATTTACTAGATAAAGAAAAAGCAAAGGCTTTTAAGGTAGAGGAGGAACGGAGGGAACGGGAACTCTATAATAAAACCCTTCAAATGGTTCAGACAAGTGGCGCCACCCAAAGTAAATTATCTTACATTGAACATTTATTATGATTTGTTTTATAATTATGCAATACAAGTTTATTAATTTGTGATCTCTATAATTAAAAAATATTTTATGAATTAATGTAACTAGGACATACACCTGAAACAACCTATAATACACGATCAAGAGGTGCAGACACTATTAATACGGTCACTAACCAAGGAGCGTATGATCCAAACCTGCAACAAGCTATAGAAATGAGCAGGCTACAACATGAAAGGGATAATAAACGTTCGTACTTATATAAAATAGATATAATTCTTAATTAACCATTATAATTTAAATTAACAGGCAGAACTGAAACTGAATGGCAAACCAAGAATCAACTAAAGGAGTCAATCAAGACTAGCTTACAGGAGCAACTATTCAGGATCATTCATACTGAACTGTACTCGCTCGAACAAGTACTAACCATAAAAACAGCATTGGGAGATTACGAAACGCGGACAGGCACCACCATATTCGACATGGGTCAAATTAGTGACTTACAGCACCGGGATCCCAACGATACGTCCAAGCTAGTTTTGTACGTGGCCAAGATCATGGAGTATTCGGTGAATCAGATTAACTGGCTCAAATTGTTCGAGTTTTTTGGCGAGCACATTCGACGTATAGAGTTAGAATTGACCAATATCGTGCACATGACAATATATAATCAAGATAAGCATGATCGTGATTCTGAATCGTCATTTGTGCATGATGCCCTACAGGGGGAGTTAGTGTGCACTCGTATCCGCGGCGATGGTAACTGCCTGTGGAATTCCGTTAGCACCGCCCTCTATGGGAATTATTCACGCATGGAGTCACTGAGACTCTTAACGGCTACCACATTAGTAAAGCACAGGGAGCTATTTGAAAATTACCTAGATGAACAAAAAAGAAAGTTCGGCTATAATCACGAGTTATCGTTCGATGGGTTGATAAGGGCCGCTATGGACTTGCAGGTAGGGTGACCAGGGGTTCAATATTTCTCCAAGTAACTTATGTTTAAATTATAGACTTAAATTGAATTTATCATATTTAAAATTGGCCATGTTTACATTATTTCTAGGTATGGGGCGATGAACTACATGTAATGGCCCTATCATTAGCACTGCATAAACCCATATATAGTTACGGGTCATTACGGTTGGCATTTGATCCTAAGTTCCCGAGACATTACTCTGAGCTTAAGGAGGCCTACGAACAGCAGTCCATACAAAACCACTTTCGGTATATCGCCGATGAGGCCGATGTCGGCGCCCAACCCATACTACTCTACTATAACGGTAGGGATCACTACAGTGTAGTGTTACCGGTCAGGGATGATGTGGTAGCACTGGTACCTCAAATGCAAATATTGGAGCCTATATTTAAACGTGAGCTTAAAAATACTGGTAATTAGTTAATTAGAACTTTAAAAATTATGAGTAGGGTTAATAAATGAATAACACAATATTTATTTGTACACATTAAATAATTTACAAAATACAAATTAAATATACATTTTCAGACTTGATTGTCCTTGATGAACCTAAACAGCACAATGTTGAACGTGCTGAATTTGTACCTGGTAACCCTGAAACTAACGAGAACGTAGTATCAAAAATTTCTCAACTAAAGGTAACTGAGCGCGATCAAAAATTGCGACCAACTGTACATGATATGACTCCTAAACCACAATTACGAACTAGTGAGCAAGCACAAAATCAACTAGCAAACAAAAAATCTGTGAGTGATAATGATCAATTGATAAAATCAATAAAATCTAAGTACGATGACAAAGTGAGCAAGTTAACAGAGGATGTGAATAAATTATCCGATGAGGTGAACAAGCTTAATACGGATCTTGTGGTTGCTAATTGCCAAAATAACTTGCTTAATTCTCAAATCATCGAGTACAGTAATCGATGTCACGCACTAGAAAATAAAGAGTTATTATGGAAAGCCGAAGAGACAAAGTACCAGGAACATATTAGAAATTTATCAAATCAGTTTGGCGAATTAATTATAAAATCAAAGGAAATGGAAAAACGTGTGAATAATGAAAATGGCGACCACCCTGGCTATAACTCATATGGCGATAAAGGTGTAAATGGGACTGGCTCAATTAATAATAAATTTTGTGCGAATGAGCAGCATGGTGTTAATTTGAATAAGCCTGGTAATATTTGTGAGCCAGGTTGGAAATTCTACCCGAACCCTAATGTAAATGATGTAAATATGCCACCAGGATTATCAAACAGTGTTTACCGGGCTAACAATGCTAATCATAATACACAACCTAATACGGAAATTGAGCTTGCTAAAAATGGTAATGATGATGAAGGTCAGGATAAAATGGAAACTGATATTTAAACTGATATTTATTTGTCTATGCTTATTAATTGTTATTTGATATTATCTATAATTTTTTAATGTTTCTAATTATATAAAAATAAGATATGTTGATAAAATATATTAAAATAAAATTTATATAAATTGTCATATTATAGTCAATATAATAATTTATAGTGTATTATTTATTAAATAAAATTATAAATAAACAAATATTACATTGATTAAACGGATTAGATAGCTTACAGATATTGAATAAAATTTATAATATACCAAAATATAAAGATTAAAATGTTACAATTTATTTCTGTGTATTAATTTAAATTAATTGAAATTCAAAAGATTTATGTAGGCAATTAGAAAACTATTTAATATTTAATATTTAATTTATTAAATTTATTTCACTTGTAATGTTTTCGTGGTATACAGTTTGAGTCAGATATTTTGCAACGACTTTGAAAGTAATTTTTGAAAAAAATATTGTATTTAAAACACTGAAAACACCACCAAACTGTAGCTTATATATCAGGCTTTCATTTCATATGTTATTTGACATTAAAGTATTTGCCACAAGAATTATTATTGACATCTGGTGTGATGACTACTAATCCAGTCTTTTCAGGCAAATATTTTTAATTTTTAGTTATAAATCTGTTTTAAAATATAATTCTTGCTTAATTAATGAATTAAAATTGATAAATAGTTATTATTTCTTGTTTTAAAACCAATGTCAGTTCAATGCTGTAATTAATTTATTTATAAATAAAGTTTAAACTTTTACCAAACTATGCCATTTTTGCTCAATTCATACCGCATTATAATAATGCATAGAGTTCTTCATAGACTGGAAAACTGGATTAGTAGTGATCACACTAAATATAGATAATAATTGTTGTAACAACTATTTTAAAGTCAAATAACATATGAAATGAAAGCCTGATATATAAGCTAAGTTTGGTGGTGTTTTCAGTGTTTTAAATACAATATTTTTTTCAAAAATTACTTTCAAAGTCGTTGCAAAATATCTGACTCAAACTGTATACCACGAAAACATTACAAGTGAAATAAATTTAATAAATTAAATATTAAATATTAAATAGTTTTCTAATTGCCT